CAGCCCTGGCAGAACCGAGAGCTGGGACGCATGAAGATCAAAACACAACCTAGGTGGTGCTTACCTCTCTACCCACAGCAGACTATTCTATCACTTACCTATCCATCTACCTGCTATCCTATCACGTCCGTCCCCAACCTATGCGGCTGGGTAAAGCCAAGCTCGCACATTGAGTGACACTCTCCACCCTCCTTCCCCTGTGTAGTCCACTGAGACGGGAACCTGCAACCGCCCTGGTGGCGCTCACCAAATTTTTTATTATTATTTTTCTTTAAAAATCTCACACGAACCTAACTAATACGGCCCTATTAAAAAGATTACCTTTCAGTGCCACTCTATGCGCTATTGGCATATGCTGATCCTAAGTAAAAAAGTAACAGCCAATTCCACGAGGGAGCAGATACTTCAATCACCATCTTTCAGCAGCCACGGAGGAAATTGAAACACACCACCGGATTTGGGGAGTACCAACTGTGCGTTCAAGCCCCAAGTTCTGGAAAACCAGCTGGCATTTTTGGGGCTACGTTTGCCCCCAAAACGTCTTCTCCAATGAGCACTAATGGCGCTCACCAAATTCAAAGAGGCCGGTATAGACACCTTCAGAAAGTGCCTGGGCTTCTCTGACAGGTGTTTATTTGTCCCAATACATTAGCAGAAACTTCAATGAGCCACAATAGTGTTTTTTAACTTAATTCTCTCGCCCTTTTACTCCTGTTATCCCCCCTCCCTCTTTTTTTCTTTCCTTTTCCAAAACAACGGGCAACAACATCTTTTGAGGTGCACACTTCTGAAAGAAAAACTCTTCCATTTCTTCATACCGAAGTCCAGGGCGGGGAGCTAAAGCACTCCCCATGGCCCCTCGGGGTGAGAAGCCAGGCCAAAAAACAAAGTATGCCTTGAGCAGAAAGTTTCACTGAATGCACACTGATAGTTTTCAAAAGTGGTATATCTGCAATTTGAACGTTGATTTATGCTCTCGTTTCCCTGGCCCTATGATTGATGCTCTTCTTTCTTGAGTTTGCTGCCGAGAACCGCTCTTTGCGGACCTCCATTTTCTTTGAAATGACTACAACTGCAGGGGGTTTCTGATTTTCCCTTTGCAATAGAAGCTCGTGGTTGGCACGACATGTGAAGAGGGCCCTACAAGGCCCTGGCTTTGGCCCTGGCCCTCTTCTCTTGTCCGACTTGTCGTGCCAATGATTTGATCCATTGGTTCTGATTGCATTGAGCCTCACTGCTCGTCACCTTGAGCACACACACACAATGGAAATGCAAAGTCCAGAACAGCCAAGCATAGAAATTCCAACAAATTATCATGTTGAACAGTTTCGGAGTTCCAGTCACCAAGCGCATAACAGTGCAGAGTTCAGCGAACTGTATCCAGCATCTTCATCGAAGGTAGGTGACTCTCTCTCTCTCTCTCTCTCTCTCTCTCTCTCTCTCTCTCTCTCTCTCTCTCTCTCTCTCTNCTCTCTCTCTCTCTCTCTCTCTCTCTCTCTCTCTCTCTCTCTCTCTCTCTCTCTCTCTCTCTCTCTCTTCATCTACGAATCCCCCTCGGCGGCGGCCGTCCGTGGACAGGTCCGCGGCCGCGGTCTAGGCCACGACCCCGTGGATGCGTCCGCGCGGCCGCGCGGCTGCACAGCGCCGTGGCAGCCGATAGGGAGGTCGGTTCAAAATTTTGGAAACGGGACTAAGCGGCGCACAACTGTCCCTAGGCCCACGAACCGAAAAAACAAAAAAAGAAAAAAATTCTGGGGGGGTCAATTGTTTTCCCCTTTGAGGGTGAGAAAGAAAAAAAAAAACCTCCTATTTTGCAAATTTGTCGAAGTGGGGGTGTGTGACACGTGGTTAGGTACGTGTTCGCACCAAAAAAAAAAATTTCCAGGGGTGGTCGAGGGGTGGTCGGGGGGGGGGGGGGGGGGTTGTGTTTTAGGGGGTTTGTCGTGTGTTGGGGTGGCAAATGGTGTGGGCCTCAAAATTGGTGGGTTGTTGGGGCCCGTGGGGGGGGGGGCGTAGGGTGTTGTTTTCAGGTGCAGGCCCTTGGGGGGTGTACGATTTCGTTGCCGTTTGAGGGTGAAAACTAAAATACCAAGCAACCCCCCTCCTCATTGTCTAGATTTTTTTAAAGTAGGGGTGTGTGATAGGTGGTAAGGTACGTGGTCGCCAAAAAAAAAAAAAATTCCATCGGTGCTGGGGGGGGGGGAGGGGTTCAAAATTGTTGGGTTGTTGCCACTTGTTGGGGACCTTGGGGGGGGCAGGGTGTCATTTTTGGGTGCATGGCCTTGGGGGTGTAGGATTTCGTTGCCCTTTGAGGGTGAAAAAAAAAAAAAACAACCCCCCGCCCCCCCCTTTTCTGGATTTCTCGAAGTGGGGGTGTTTGATACGTAGTAAGGTACTTGTTAGGCAAAAAAGAAAAAAAGGGCAACTTCAGTAGAGTCACAAAAACGAGTTATAATTCCACGATGGGCCAAGATACAGTTTGCAATTGCGATGATTGCCACCGTACCTGGCCAGAAAGCTGGGTTGTATACATTCCCCGAACTGCAATTGCAAACTGTATCTTGGCCCATTCTGCAATTATAACTCGTTTTTGTGACTTCCGTGTAGTTGCCCAAAAAAAGAACTTTCCATCGATGGTGGGGGGGGTGGGGGAGCGACTGATTATTTAGGAGGTTTGGCCTGTCTTTGGCATGACAAATGGTGTGGGGTTCGATATTCGTGGGTTGTTCGGGCCCTTGGGGGGCGTAGGGTGTCGCTTTTCGTGTGCAGGCATTTGGGGTTGTTTAGTGTGCGAGGTTTGTAGTGTTTTAGGGGCTTGTGATTGTGGTTGGTGGTGGTTGGGGGTGATGACGATTTCGTTCTTCCTGTTTCAAACAGTTTCAGTGCAGGGTTTTGGGGATTGCGTGGGACGGTGGGTGGTTTCGTGCATCCCACATCTGTGCAATTATACAAAAGTTAACAAAAGTCAGCAAAGTAAAACACATTGTGACATTTTCGATAGCGCAAATACTTTAACATGAACTAATGGTTTCAAAACATATGACATAGGTCACCTGTTGCAAGTGTTACATTCACACATTATGAAACGATGCATCATGTTCAACGGAACCGTGAGATCATGCATGCAATAAAACACACCACGTTGCCAAACACACAAACAAAACTTATAATCCATAGGAAATATGAAACAAAGGTGTACATCTGAGATAATGTGAGTTGTGGACTCATACAACACAATCATAGAACGAGGAGGAAAAACGAAGTACAACCGCTGTATGAGTCGAACAATATAAGATATACGACTCATATCCCCGGAAGTACAAATGTTTCGTCGAACAACTGCTCCTCCTATGAGTCCTATCCGGATACATAAGAAACTACATACTCTCCAAATGTACAGACGTCATCCTTCGGCAAAAAACTAAACAGAACAGGTGTCACTAATACACATATATCTCACAAAAGGGAAGACTTAAAAACCCTACCACAAAGAACCTCCGCTACTACACGCACTGTCAAAGGCTACCACTGCACACGAGTCCGCGGAAGGCGGAAAAAACCTACATAAAGAACTGCGAAACCAAAGTACATATGAAAAACTAAGAAAACGACTGCAAATCACGCACCGAAACATGGGAAACATCCAAATAAACAGGAGAGATATCTACTACCCCCGGCCACTGCCTGCTCGTCGTCGTCCCCGTGTCGTACGTGTCCCTGCCTCCGCCAATCTCCCTCTCTCTCTCTCTCTCCCTGCGCCTAAGAAGGTCCATAGGTTCCTCCTCTGTGTCGGCCTCTGAAGTACGCGTCGCCGCCATCCTCGCGCGCTTCGTGTCGTACTCGTCGTGCAACTCCCTCAATCGTGTCTCCTCCCTAGCAATACGAGACTCTAACTCGTTAATGCTGCAGTGATGTCGCTCCCCCTGAGGAGCGGGCACACCGTCCACTCCAGAAGTGTAGAGCGTCGGCCCCACGTGAACCTACAAGTAGATTTCTACGCGCATGATATCTAGGCTCTCCGAGAATGCGACAGGCACTCCCAATACTCGGTGCGCTCCGCTTTGACTCCCTCAATCGTGCCTGCTGGGCCACGAAATCACCCCTCACACAATCATCAACTCGTCGCACTGTGTTCCACGGACGGTGAAGCGACTACTGTGTGTCGAGGCGAGGTGACGACAACGACGGCATGTGGCCTCTGCCAGCAATACTACCTGTGACAGGTGGAGGCGGTATACATGGGGGGATGCGAGTCGTGTGTGCAACCGAAGCCGCCGCTCTAATAGACTCTGACCGACGCTGCTCGCGCTCCAAGCTCGCAGGAGAGCCAGAATACAGAGAGCTCAAAGGTGTGTAAAGCGGAGGGGAGCGAAGTCCAACCCCAAGAGATCTTGCAGGTCCCTCGCTAATCGGTTCCTCCACTAGCGCAAGGTGCAACGCGTCTGGGTCGAGTAGGCCCGGTGTAATCTGCCCCTCCTCCATATCTACTCTCGCGGGGTCATGATGGTCATGTGCTGTACCACACTCCCCCTCCTCAACCACACCCCCTCTCCACAGGCTGTGACTGAACCTCGTGCACCACCGATGAAGGATCCCGCAACACTAATGCCAACGACATACTGCCTCCGACCTCGGTCGGATCATCACCCTGTAAAGGTTTAGATGCGCCACCCCCAATCGGCCCCTGTGACGATCGACCTGAACCGGCACTGTGCGCAGGTGCAAGACGCCCTGCATCACCCTAAGCATCGGGTCCACGGCCTCCATCCAACTCGCCTCAAACACCCTCCATATGAACTGCCTTCTGAGTGACAGGAGGATCTGGATGCAACGTGCCCGCCGCACACAGTCCAAGTATGACGCTGGACAAGGCCGGATCTCCATACTCAAAGGGACCAACATCTCCACCCATTGCAGACCCCGAGTCCACATCGCCGTGGGGTGACGTCAACGGTCCACGTGTGTCAGGTGTTGCTGCATCGACTGCAAATGGATGCGGGACTGTAGGAATGCGATGCTCGACCCCTCCCGTATCAGGAACCGCAATACTGGTCTCCAAGTCCCGAATATGCTGTTGCTATGCTATGTACGCATGTCTACCCGCCCACTCTCTCTGCAACTGCCATAGCCGTTGCTCCTCCTCTCGATCCATCCGGGCATGGACCTCCTCCGTGGACTCCGCTCTACCACCCTCCATGGGATAATACTCGGTGTCGTCCCCCACTCTGACTCCCGCGTCAGTCGGTCCTTGAACACCGCTGCCAGAAAGTCTGTGTCCATGGCTATGAAAGTCACTCGTGCACAGCTCTGTCTGCTCCCTGTGGCCTGAAGGTGCTGAGGTGGGTGTGCACTGGCTCGGCAAATGCGCCTGTGCTGTGATGTTGTCTAGATGGTCTGACACCTCGCGTCTAGCACCTGAAGGCGAGCTGGTCCTCGCCTGCAGCCTCATTGATCTCCTAAGACCCTCGGCGGCGGACGCGGCACCCTCGCGCGCCAAGCGCGCTCTGTGAATAACCAGCGGCTCCTCGTCGTCGTCGTTGTTCGTGACCTCCCTACCATGAACCCCACCAGGGACTACACCACTCGCGCCGCCTGAAGCACCTCGCTGTCCACGGTCCAACCCTGTATCCATAGAGGGGATGGAATGGTCGTCGCTCTCTCGAATGACGGTGCAGCGTGGCTGAAATCTGTCTGCTCCTCCGCCGTACGTGTAGTAGAGTCTCTCGGCACTCTTATCTACACCAACCGACAAATCCTTTCTGCCGTCCGTCTCCGTCTGGTCCTCCGACGCCTGCACCGACTCTGCTGGTGGTGGAGGCACGTAGTCGTATGGATGCAGTATCATGGCTCCGACACCAAAAACCTCAGCAACTCCCGCGAGGCGATGAGCACCATGCTGTTGGAAGCGACAAAGATGTGCACTGATCTCCTGAGCCGGTACCGTTGACTGAACTCTGGCTCCCCAATCCTCTGGCTCAGGCTCCTCCTCCGCATCCTCGGCGACAGAGGGTGGGTGTACTCCTCTGGCTGCACCTCCGCCAAGGTCGCCATGTGACCCCACGGAAGAACGTACCCCCAACTCCGCTCGCTCCAACCAAGTAGTTTGAGATTTGTAGCAATCTCAACTAACTGCGCGACCTTCCCGAACCCGAGCTTGTTGCGCTTGGCCGAGTGGATGCGCTCATGCTCTGCTCAATTCCTCGCAGCACGAGAGGCGGACGTCCACATATGCATCACACGACCAATGATCTCCTGCAACTCCCGGAAGCATGCGCCGTGCTCCACCCACCATGACGCGCATTTGCTCGTCTCGTTATCCCCAATACAGGCCTTCGCCTCAGTGTCCCTCATCACCCTGTCAGTCGTGTGCCCGATCCGAGTTTGGAACGACCGCATCTGCTCACGCACCCGCAAATATGTCTCCCCCACCGGATCACCGCCTGTCTGCGACTCTGCGCTAATAGAAGAGAGTCGCACTCGGTGACCACCTCGAGGTCCGAAGCTGTCCTGCGGAGAGACTCTTAGTAACGGAGGGAGCGTCTGCGGGGGTTGAGCATTTGCGCCACAGCGCGCGTAGACTCAAGCATATGCATTTTGCGGATCTGCACCACCTCCATGCACGGCTCTTGCATGTCATCCGGGCCACCTGCGGCACCAACTCCTGTGACCAGGAGTACATCATGGACATAATCATACCGCCCCTGTCCGATCTCCTCAACAGTTGGTGGAGAACAGTCATCACGACGGCAGCGTACTCAACGTTGTGCCAGAAATCGGCGCACTGGATGACCTGTCGAACCCACAGAGCCTATGTACGCAACCTTGGCTCTCATGGGATCTTGTCCCACTCGTCGTCATGAAGCATGCTTTCCAAGGCATTACGCCTGGCGAGCAAACACACAAACATCAAAAAACGGACGCGAATCGCGTCTCCACGGGGTGCACAAGTGTTCGACGACGACTCTTCACCCTGAAAAGGTGATAAGCCGCACCGTGCGATTTAGTAAATCGCACCAACGCCCGAGTTTTTGAATATGGTGTCCGTAACCCAAGGAACCCGTGTCCCAACGTTAGACAACATCAAGTTGCATGCGTAGGTGGAACACGGGAGCCACGTGATACGGGGGAACTGCAGATCGGCGTCCTTTGCAAGGAGCTTTGCAGCCGACTTATAGTTGGACGCAGAGTCCATACAAATGGCCAAAACGTCCTTTGGAGAGAAAGACCGAAAAATGACCTTCCACCTCCTAAGGATGATCTCTGTCGTCTCGGGTACTGAACCGTCTCGTATTACGGTGGTGTACATAAGGACGCCGCGCTTGGTCGCTGCAAGGAAATTAACTAATGGCCTAGCGTCTCGCGATTGCCTACCGTCCGACAAAATGGTGACCCTAACCGACTCAAATGAACCACGGACCTCCCGCAACATCACACGACCTTCCCTCGTTGATCAACAATATCCACGTCCCCAATCTCCTTGAACGATGGATATACTGTCCGCACTCCGTGAGGCATAGCGGCTAACTGTTTCTTGTGTCGAAGCCATGGTTGCTTCCTATATGCAGCAAACGAGATACCAGAATCGTACACCCACTGCAAAAAGGGGTCCCTGAATACGGCCTGCCATTCCGATCGTACACCTCGTCCAAACTGGACTGCCGCTGTCTCTTGCGTGCCTGCGGCACGCTCTCATCTCCAGTCACGAGCGGCCTCTTCTCCGCTCGCCCCCGTACGCCCCCTCATGATGGTCTGCGGCCCTACTGCCTCACTGTGTTGTTCCCCGTACGTCGTACAAGGGGTTCCCGTACGGGCCGTATGGACGGAAGTACAGACGCCCGTACGAGCGTACGGACGACCCCTGTCCGAACGTGCCACGGGCCGTAGGGGGGGTGTTGTCGGGGTCTAAGGGCCTGGGGTGTGGGGATGGGTGTTGGGGGTCTCTGCTGTGTGATTGGAAAAATTTGAGATTTTTTTTTTTTGGTAAAAAATTGAAAAAATGAAAAATGACTGTCCGCGCCCCTGCAGGGTTCAGCCTGCCAGCCGATGGCGCGGGCCAGGGCAGTTTCGGAGGGCTGCCCCTCCGAAACTGCCCTGGCCCGCGTCACCAGCTCGCAGGCTGAGCCCCGCGGGGGCTCGGGTAGTCATTTTTTGTTATTTTAACTTAAAAAAAAAAAAAATAAAAAAAATGAGGTGGAGTTGGTGGGCCTTGGGGCAGCCCTCGCGCTGTCATAACCACTTCCTCTCCCGACAAATCTGGTGTTGTCCCTGTCCCTCCACCCTCCTTTCCGGAGTCTCGGCCCCTGGCCTCTGCTCAACCTGGCCTCCTCGTCAAGGAAGTCCTGCACCTCGGCGACAGGATCACGCTCCTGTGGTCGCGACTCCCTGCCACCCGTCCTGCGTCTGCCACTCCCTCGAGGGTTGTCGACGGCTCATTTATCCGAGATATCGTGCTCCCTCATGTATGCCAAGATACCGTGGTCATGGCGTGCATCAAACTCATAGTCTGTGTGGTTCCAAATGTCCACATGCACGTCCATCGGTGGTGTTGCGCATCTCTTCAACCGCGCGAAGTGGCGCGCTGCCTTCGACATGTTACCCTGCGACACGTGCTTGCAGTTATTGCAGCGCAGCTTGTAGTCACCATGCCTCTTCTCCCACGTCCCCATCCTCTGACCCTGCGTCACACGACGCCAAACTCTCGACTTGCTGCGCAGTTTGTCCATTTCTGCATTGGACGCAGGAATGAAATCACTACCCCCTGAACCACCTGCACCACCCGTCATTTCTATCGTTAATGGCCTTCCCTCCCCCTCCCCCCCCCACCGCTGATGATGAAGTTCCCTGGTCCTGTCACCTGTGTACTGTCCTGCGGTCCGTGGCCACGCAGTGGGCCCAACGGCCGTCCTGTCCCTCCTGAAGACCTGCCCTGTCCCACCTTAGCAGCAGCCCCGAGAAGGCGCTCCGGGTGGCGCGTGCGAGTTCAATGCCGCGCGGACGGGGACGACTCCACGCGGCCGTGCCCAAATCCGCGGACAGGGCCTCGCGGCCGTGTACGTGGCTGCGTCCTCGGTCGATGACTCCCACTGTTTCTATCTCGCGTCGTCTCTCCCCGGGCGCCGCCAGCGACCGTCATCACCTGAAAAAAAAAAAAAAAAGGTTAAGCAATATGAAAAAAAAGAAGAAGAAAGAAACTTTTTTTCTCTCTCTCTCTCACACACACACACACACACACACTCTACACACACTCTAAACACACTTTACACACACACACACAATCAATCAATCAGTCAAACAATCAATCAATCAAATAATCAATCAGTCACTCAATCAAGATAGGATCTTGAAGGATTGATTGATTGACTGATTTATAGTTTGATTTGATGGATCGATTGATGGATTGATTGATTTATTTATTGATTGATTGATTGATTGATTGATTGATTGACTGATTGATTGATTAATGGATTCTCTCTCTCTATCTATCTAACACACACACACACACACACACACACACACACACATACACACACACACACACACACACACACACACACACACAC